TAAAACAGCCACATTTTGGCTCAGCTCCCTCCATTTTATGACCTCCCCTTCCATATTTCTTGCCATATATTTTGGTTTCTCTTCTCTCTTCCTCTCTTGGCACTTTGGAGAAATGTACTCCTCCACTTTAGATAAACCAAATAGTAGCTTTACTTGAATAGAAATCTCAGAATTTTGACATCTGGTAAATCTGTACTTGGTTAGTTTGTTCAGATGTTTGTTTTAGTCACATAATCATTTTTATTTAATGGATGGACTTCTCCCTGCCCCTTTGGAGAATATCTCAGAAAGGAGAGACAAATAAAGAATCTAAAACAACAAATTGCTTTTTTTAAGTCTTTAGAACAAGGCCAAATTTTAAAACAGTACATGTGCTTACCATAAATATTTGGGTCTTCCCTCCCACCCACTCAGCCACCCATTTTCTAATCTTGCACTAAGAGATATAGTGTATATATACATATGTATTTAAAATTACATATATTTCCCACATTTTTTAAAAAAAGAATAGTAGGTCTTTTAGGTTTTTCAGTCTTTTTATGAGAAGTGTTATCAATTTTCAAGAAGAAATTTAGACATAAATACATTTTAAAACGAAAATCAAGCCCTTCCAAAAATAACATAAAGGGCAGAATTACCTTGACCCTGGGAAAGTTTCTTCTGTTTATTTCTACAGCATCTTTCCAGCTTTAGTGAAAGAGACTGCTTCTCTCGCTCGACCCCCCTGCTTATCCCCCCTCCCCAACATAAACATTATCACACCCTCACCTTGAGTTTGGCTCAGAGCCGGTTTGGAAGAAAGAGTGGATTTGGAGCACCGTCCCAGGTACCTCTGAATCCGAACGTGGCTCCTTCGGAGGGCGAGATGCAGGATGGAAAGGGAGGGGGAGCGAATTCCAGGCATGGGACAGGGGAAAGGAAATGGGCGGGGGGGGAAGAAGGGGGCAGCCATGGGGGGCGGGTTTGAGGATCTGGGGAGGAGTCCAAGGGGCTCTGACAAGGGACGTTTGCTAATCCCAGTGAAACATGGGTCATTTACATCAATCTCAATCCACTCCCAATCTAAAAATAATACTGTAGTATAATAGTTTTTCTGGATTCGCCTGTCAATCTAATTCTGTGGAATCCTTTTTGGTTAGCACAAGGGAGCGGTGGTGGATTTTTCCTGCCCCTCCTGCTTTCCTTCAATTGTTTTATGGTTCTGTTACACACATAAGCACACAAACGTTTTGTCTGTCCAAGTGCAAAGGCTTCTTGGAGAAAAACAGGGAGTTTTGAAGCTAAAGGATCCTACTCTTTTTTTTTTTTTGGAAATTTTTTATTGATTTTTAAAAACAAACATAAACAAATAAAACATAAAAACATAAAACATCTTTTTTGAAAGCAGCTTGATCCCGGGTCACATCTCTTCGTACAGACACAAATTCAATTTCATGCTCATTTTTATATACCATTCCATATCTTATTATCATTCTACATTTTCTATATAGCTTCTCCCCTCTTTTAACTTTCTCAATTTTTTTTATTTATTTCATCTCAATTCAGATCATTATACTTATATTCTTTGTCTGTCCTGTTTCAGCTGTCTATTATCTTTTCTCATTAAACAAAATTTCTCCTGTAATCACTGATTGGAGTATGACGCCTTTATATCTTTCCTCTAAAATTATAACACTTAATATAATACCTAACTTCTGTTCAAATTCTGCTTAGTACATTCTAAAGCTACACACTATATTTTAAAAAAGAAAAAATTATGAATATATAATATAATTAAAACAACAATCCATACCAATTCAATTCTATCGTTAATATTAATATTCATTTAAATCTTAAACATTTTACACATTACTTTTCAAATAGGTACCATGCTTCTATGGGAACACTTATAAACTTTCCATAGTTACTTCCCCCCCACTTTATATTTTAAAGTTATATATTTTAAAGTTATATGAAGTTATATTTTAAAACATTGTGTCATTAAAATGTTCCCATTCCTTCCTAATTCAATTCTCTCATTTATTTCATTTCACTTGTTTTGTTCACAAAAGTTTCACTGAATCACACTGACTATTTTATCCCACTTTTTAATCATGTTTCCAATTTTCTAACATTATTTCTAAAACAAATATAACAATACAATCTTATGTACCTTTGCAGAATCGCTTTTTCAGTTAAATTTTTACACATTATCTCCGAATAAGTCCTGTTTCTTTATATCTTGCTCCAAACTTTTGTAGCTTCTCTTCCCTTCCTTCCTCCCTTGCTTCTTCTCTCTGCCCTTTTTACCCCCTTGTCTCTCCACCTCCATTTCCTTCTTCTGTGTTCCCCTTTTCTGTTGCTTTCTGACATTATATCCACTTTTCACCTTGTTTTTCCCTTTTTTGGTTGTTTTTTTAGGTCTTAAATTCTTCATTCTCTTTCCCCCCTTTCCCCTTTCTTCCCCAGATAAAGTTACTTGTTCATTAAAGATGGCTTCTTCTTTGTCCCAATCTTCTTGTTGCACAGTCTTTTCTTGTAGTTTCTCGTAGGTAAGATCGCCATTTCTAAGAATTGAAAAACGGAGCCAAAACAGCCCTTCCCTTCTTGTTCCTCTTCTTTATATTTTTTAAATTCCATTTACAGTTCATCCACAAGTGATGCCATTGTAAAGTTTTTTTAAACAACCACCCAATTGTTTTTAATCATTCAAATATAGATTCTAGAAGTCCCAAAGTCACCAAGCAATCCAAATACACACAAGCTGTTTCGTTTAACACTTTCTTCTTTTTTCACTTTCTCTTCCTGGGGTTACTATTTAGTTCCAAAGTTCCAGTTAAAATGTATCTTTTAGAAGTCTTATTGAGATTTAACTTTAGGTTCTTTTGGATTCCAGGCAGACTCCTCCTTCCAAATCCTGCTCTTATTCTTTTCCTCTCCCTTCCCACTTACAGCAAAAAAAATTTTTTTTAAGTGTTCAGGAATCTTTAGTCCCCTTAGCATTTAATTTTCCAGTTTAATTACCTATTGGTGCCAAAGCGGATTTTTCCGATTTCTCATTCATCTCTTTTCGCTGTCAACGTAAGGAAGGAGAGTGAAAAATAAAAAAACCTTTCCCTTTTCACTTTCATTCGCTGCTTCCGAGTCTTCTTTGGGAGCGATGCATCTTTTATAAAATTTAAATTCCAGGATAACTTAGTTGTTGTTTCTTATCCCGGTCAGCCAAAACTTTCACTTCTTAACTTCCTCCTGCACTTTCTTTTCCGGATGAGTGCTTCTTTGAGGCGGCCATTTCTGACCGCCGCTCTTACTGCCTTCGGGAAAGGGAGTTTGGCCAGCTGAGGAGGAAAGATGCGGCTTTCCTCGACCCTGATGGGATCTCCCCCCTCTTCACCACCTCTACGGGGTGGCTTAGCCCCGAAGCCAGCTGGCTCGGAGCGCTCCAGCGGCGAGCCCAGGCAGAAACCGCGCATGACCACGGATTCCTGCCTGCCACCAAAGCCCTGCAAACCAGAAGTTGATCCTACTCTTTCAAGAGTTGGGAGCGCAGATACAATCTCCATCGGCTGAGTGAATAAATGCGGAAGGGGGGAAAGAGCTAAACTCTCAAACCCAGGTGTGCATTCACACAATTACACCAGGCAAAACAAAATAAAAGGTTCCAAAACAAAAAGAACTCTCCCTTGGTGCGTTCCCTGCCACTGCTTCTCTGCAAATCACCTCGCAAGTTAATTGCCAAGGAACTTGCCTTGGCACTGATGTTCAACTTTACACAGCCTTTCCCTAGCATTTTTAATGTACAGATAATCCTCGATTTACAGCCATTCATTCAGTTACAAAGGCACTAAAAAAAGTGACATGACTATTTTCACACATGACCACTGTAGCATCCCTGTAATCATGTGATCAAAATTTAGGCACTTAGCAATTGGCTCATATTTATGACAGTTGCAGTGTCCTGGGGTCATGTGGTCACCTTTTGCGACCTTCTGACAAGCAGCCAATTGGGGAAGCCAGATTCACTTAGCAACTCTGTTACTAACTTAACAATTGTAGTGATTCACTTAACTGTGACAAAGAAGGTTGTAAAAAAGGGCAAAATTCACTTAACAACTGTCTTGCTTAGCATTAGAAATTTTGGGTTCAATTGATTAGCTTATGCAAATTCCTTCTGTGTCCAATCACACTTGGCCAGTATGGAATATTCTTTTCTATTCTATTCTGGTCGTAAGTTGAGGACTACTTGTACATTTTCCCCCTTCTCCAGAGTAAAGTGCTTCCCTGCTGCCCCTCTCTTAGTGGACTTTTGAGGGCTTTTCCTAAAACCCCTCAAGGCGAGAGGCGGGGGGGGGGGAAGCAACCGACAACTTTGCCCCATCTGGAGTTACTCAACACCCGCTGCGTAATTAAAACAGCCACAGAAACCTGATGGGTGTGCGTGCACAAGACCCAGAATTGCAAAATCAACTACATTACAGGCGGTCCTCAACTTAGGACCACAATTGAGCCTAAAATTTATCTTGTTAGGTGAGACATTCATTAAATGAGTATTGCCCCATTTTTCGACCTTTCTTGACACAGTTGTTGAGCGAATTGCTACAGTTGTTAAATCAGTAACAAAAGCTGTGAAGTGAATCTGCTCCCCCAATTAACTTTGCTTGTCGGAAAGTCAAAAAAAGGTAATCCAGGATATTGCAGCCGCCATAAATAGTGGCCAATGATCGGAATTTGCTGCACGGGTCGGTCGTAAGTGTGAAAAACGGCACTTTTGTCAGGGCCTGTAACTTGGAACAGTCACTTTTGTCAGGGCCCGTAACTTGGAACAGTCACGAATGAACTGTTGCAAGTCGAGGGCTACCTGTATTCCTAGCAACCAAAGACGGAAAAGCCCTCCAACAAAAACAACAAAATGCAGTCCCCGGTTAATGGCATCGATCCTTCAGACGAGTAAAAGGTCCTCCGGGCGGAAAGGGAGGAGCTTCCCTCCCCCTCCCCGCCCGCAGCTTTCCTCCGCCTCTTGCGGAGATTCCGGCGCCCTGCAGCGCCCTCTAGCGAGCCGAAGCGCGAAGGAAAGGGACCGCGCGGCTGCCTGGGCCGCACACCATTTGCACTGCGATCCTACAGAAAAGCGGAGCTCGGAGAAAGGTGGGAACGGAGACAGGGAAGGGTTGTCCTGCACTGCGACGGAGTGGGGCAAAGGGAAGGCTTGATCGGTGCAAGGGCCCGGCTGGTTCCCTGCCGGGAAAAATGGGGAAAGGATCTGCCGGAAAGAAAGGGCCGAGCTAAATGGGGACGCCGGACTTGAGAGTTGGCCAGGGTGGGAGCCATCCTGAGCTTCCGTCACCTCGCAGCTAGAGTCCATTAGGGCCCGAGAAAGAAAGAGAGAGTGGGGGGAGGGAGAGAGGGAAGGGAAGGAAGGAAGGAAGATGAGACAGAAGAAAGAGAAAGAAAGAAAGAAAGAAAGAAAGAAAGAGCACATGTAGGTCAAGTTCCTCTCTCCCATTATAGGCAACAATTAAACCGGTAAAGCTTTTTTCCTTCTTTCCTCTAAAGCAGGGGCATCCAATCTCACCAACTTTAAGACTTATGGACTTCAACTCCCAGAATTCCCCAGCCAGCATGGGAGTTAAATTCTGGGAGTTGAAGTCCACAAATCTTAAAGTTGCTGAGGTTGGATACCCCTATTCTGAATCGAATTGACACAGTAACTGTTAATAGGAAAGCAGCAGGTGTTGAGTTGTAAGACTGGCATGTCGGTTTTAAGAAGCAGGAAGAAGAGGGGTGCGGTCTTCTGCTCCTCGAAATAATTTGTGGTAGTTATGTTTTATCTTTCTGACTAAAATAGTGGGGAGTGGGGAATCCAATAGGAGAAACAAGAAGCACTTGTTTTTCAAGTGAAAGCATTATATGAATAATTTAACCTTTGTTTACTAAATTGTCCCATTTTGGGGATCTCCTGTGGCTTAATGAACGAGTCATCTCTATTTGGGATTAATTGGTGCCAGCTCAATTTATTGACTCCCTCCAATAAATTCCATATTGGAATTGGAATTCTCAGAATGGCAAACTACCATAACTGAAGACTGGGAATGTTGGGGTATGTGGTTTCCATATCTTCAAGCAGCCTACCAAGTTTCTCAAACTTGGCAACTTTAAGGCGCAAGAATTTCAACTCCCAGAATTCCGTAGCCAGCACCCATCAATTTTTTCAAAATCTCTCTGTCTCAAATAGCTACCTGTACAATAGTTCAAATTTTTGAGGTTCAATAAAAGAGTGAGGCCCTTTAGTATCCGCTTCTTAAAAAAGGAAACGTTTTACTAGGAAAAAACTGAGGCAATATGTAGACCAATTATTAATTGCAGGCAGCAACAATCAACTGCTCATCAAGAAGCTGTGGCTCAGATGAAATTTCATGGTGTTAATTGAGGCCTACTGGGTTTTTTTTTGAAACAAGCGTTTGATGCTTTCTGCTTTACAAGTGACTTAAAATGCCCTCTTGTTTTATCATTAGCCGAGGGGGCAATAGAGATGTTCATTTCTCATGACCTATTTTAACTCATTTCATTCCAGGCTGTGATCTTGCTACCATCTGTAAAAGTGTGATAGGTCTTAAAGCAGGGGTCCCCAACCCTCAAGCCATGGCCCACTACCCAGGCCTTGAGCTGTTCAAAATAGGATCATGGAAGTGGCAAGATAAGCGCACGTGCACGCACACATCTCCACTTGCACAAGCAGCAGGGGAGCACTTGATCATGTGGGGCAAAAATGGTGCTGCACGCACACCGTTCCTGCCACTCATGCAGAATCATCCACTCTCCCTCCCTCCCTCCTTCCCCCAGGCAATCTGCAAAGCCAGAAAGTTTGAGGAATTCTGTCTTAAAAAAATATGAATTTTCTTGGGCTCAAAGCACTGCAACTTTTTATCTCCCATGAAGGACTTGGATTTGTTGCCTGATGTGCCAAGAGGTCAAATAATGTTGGCACAAGCTGACTAGATATGGGCTACAAAAATCTGGATGGCCAGATGATTTGATTGACAGCAAAAAAATCCAGCAAGAAGTTTAGACCTTCTTCTAACCTTGATGCAGTACAATACCGTTTTAATCGCTGTTCTTTTAAAGATAGGCCGAAAGATTGGAGAAAATAAATTGGGTCCTATTAGAGGCCTGGTTGACTCACAGATTCCTTTTTCTCTCCAGGTTGGTTCACCATGATCATCCCTGTACGATGCTTCACTTGTGGTAAAGTTGTAGGGAACAAATGGGAAGCATACCTGGGCCTCCTGCAGGCCGAATACACAGAAGGGTGAGTCTGGAGAAGGCTTTGATATTTGCTGGCACGGACAGGTAGTCCTTGACTTACAACAGTTCATTTAGTAACCGTTCAAAGTTACAACAGCACTGGAAGAAAAAAAGTGACTTACGACCGTTTTTCACAGTTATGAGTTTTGCACATCCCCATAATCATGTGATCAAATTCAGAGGACGTGGGATCATCTTTTCAGCTTGTGACTTGACAAGCAAAGTCAGTGGAGAAACCAGATTCAGTTAACAATCAGGTTACTAACTTTATCAACTGCAGTGACTCACTTAACAATGGTGACAAGGAGGGTCATAAAATGAGGCAAAGCTCATTTAACAAATGTCTCGCTTAACAACAGAAATTTTGGGCTCCAGTGTGGTTGTAAGTCGAGGACTACCTGTATTGATGATGTGCTATCAAGTTGGTGTTGACTTAGCAACCATCCTGATGGATTTTCCCCAGGAGGATCTGTCCCAAGTCTGGCCCCTTCAAGCCCCTGTAATTGAGTTCCATCAACTTCATTACAGGTAGTCCTTGAATTACAACAGTTCATTTAGTGACCTTTTGAAGTTAACAACTGCACTAAAAAAAGGTGACTTATGATCATTTTTCACACTTACGACCATTGAAGCCTCCCAATTGTCAGGTGATCTACATTCGGACGCTTGACAACCAACTCACATTTATGACAGTTGCAGATTTCCGGAGCCATGTGATCCCCTTTTATGACCTTCTAACAAGAAAAAATCAATGGGGAAGCCAGATTCATTTAACGACTATGTTACTAATATAAGAACTGTAGTGATTCACTTAATAAAAGTGGTGAGAAAGGTCATAAAATGGAGCAAAGTTCACTTAACAAATATCTCACATAACATAAATTTGGGGCTCAGTTGTGGTTGTAAGTTGAGGACTACCTGTACTGGTTATCCTTGTCTCCATCCATCTTTCCCAGTATTATAACCTTCTCCAGAGAAGTAAGTCTTCATCTAATGTGTCAAGTATAATAATTTGAATCTAGTAATTTGTGTCTTAAGAACTATTTTTTAATGAACCATTGGTTTGTTTCCTTGGCTTTCCATGGTATTCTCAGGAGCTTTCTCCAGCACCAAATATTAATACTCTTTCTAAAATGCTTCACAGAAGTCCAACTTTACTTCCATAGTGGAAATGTTATGGTTTATGCTATTCCAAACTTTGTAAGTATAGACAATTCACAGCATCTGAATATCTTTTCTAAGGCCTTCACGGCTGCTCTACCATGACTGCTTTCTACATGGAGTATTTTTTACTACTGGTTCCTTTAACATTGCTCCTTGATTCACCGTTTAATTAGCTTTATTGTAAGCTGTAAGGTTGGTTGCTAAACTTGTTTCTGCTACCGTAGTTTGGTCTGTCTTTGATCTTAGTCCTGAACATTACTAGCACATTATATAAAATACTATGTAAGAATAAGGCTGGAATACAAGTAGTATTCAACTTACAGCCATAATTGATCCCAGAATTATGGTCATAAGTCTTGCTGTTTAAGCACCTCATGTGACCATTCCTGACTTTATTATATTTTTCATGGCAGTCATTAAGTGAATCTGCAATGGTTGTTTTTTGTTGGAAAGAGAAATAAACACTAGTTTCCAGCAAAAATTGTCATACATTATGGTCATGACTAGAATGCTGGATGTTAGGGATACACCCTAGCAGAATCTGCATGGCAGTTAGGCAGGCAGGCAAAATATGTGAGGTAAACATTTTTGTAGCTTACACTCAGTAAAACAGATACACCGTGCTAGTTAAATAGTTTATTCCAGCAAGAGTTTTAGCATAGTCAAAACAGTCCATATATCATTCACTAGTTCAGTCCATCCGGGGATTATACAGTTGCAAAGTCCAGTGTCGGAAAAGAGGTCAGTAAACTTACAAATATCAGTCCAGTAATATACCTCCTCGCAGTAGAGATATGAAGAAGTCAAACCTCCTTTCTTCAACGTTCAGCAACTCAGCAGTAGGGAAAACACGCAGTTAGCAAAACATCAATCCATCAAACCAGCAATCATCAGGAATCGTCAGCAATCGAGCAAGTTCTCTTGCTCCCTCTTATGGCGGTTCAACACCGCACCCAAAATTACATGCTTTGCAGTTTAAAGTGACACACACTTAAACTTACTATCATAGTTTATATATATTATTTTACCCAAACTACGTTAGGTAACCTTGTTATTCCTAACACTGGAAATGCCCCTATATTCAGGTCACTTGCCACATGTCCATTATGTGATCACAAGACTGTAAGCGGAAGGTAGATGTCAGAACTTTGAATCTGAATTATAAGTAGCCCTGGGGAGGTCTATTGTAACTTTGAACAGTCACTAAGCAACCTGTCACAAGTTGAGGACTTCCTGTATGGATAACTTTTGGTGTTTTTGTGTGTGTGTGTGTGTAAATAACAATACATATGCGCACATAAACATACATATACATATATACACACATACAAAGGCTTTAAGAGCCAGTGTGTACCCAATTGAATGTGCAGGTATCAATAAATAAACCTTTGTAAGCATTGGCATTCCATATCTTCCATGTTCCTAAATGAGGCTGCAGAGTAACAATGGAAACATTGGCAACTTAACACAGCCTTACACAAAGAAAACGGAGTCATCAAAATTGCCCTGTGTAAAGACGAGATATGTAATTTCTTATTTCTTCTTTTCGTTTCCCCAGAGATGCGTTGGATGCTCTTGGTCTGAAGCGCTACTGCTGTCGGCGCATGCTTCTATCCCACGTGGATTTGATTGAGAAGCTGCTGAACTACGCGCCCTTGGAGAAGTAGCGTTAGTAAACCCGAACGAGGCCCAGTGGAAATGGGCTATAAACATTTGCTTCCCTTAGCTTGTGCTCTTACCAGATGGCTAAGATCGGCAGTAGAAAGAGTTCAGTTCAGTGATGCATAATAATAATAATAATGTGCGTGAAATGTGTCTATGCTGTGTTGAGTTCATTACTGAGACTAGTCTACACTCAGTGCTAGTTTTAAAGAATCTTGTAGAGGAGCGGTCCCCAACCTTTGCATCTTGGAGGCCCAGCAGGAGGGAGGGGAATCAGGTCGTGCAAGCTGTGGGCCAGCATGCATGCAGTTCAACTTGCACAAGTGGGGGTGGGGGGGGACTAGCAGACATACTTGCGCAAGTTGAGCTGCATGTGCACTGCCCATGTGCATGTGGGTGCTAGCCCGCCCCTCGCATAAGATGAGCTGCATGCGTTTGTGCCGCCCCGCTGCCCGCGTGGCCTGGTTCCAAAAAGGCCACGGGGTAGTGGTAGTGGGCTGAGGCCTAGGGGTTGGGGACCCCCTGTTGTAGAGCTCAGGAAGAGGCATTCTTAAGCCAGCTTTGCATCTTCCTGTTGCCGTCTTTTTGCCACGGTGGGCACCACCTTTGGGGGGAGATCAATAGCTTACCCTTTCTTTGCACCTGTCATCGTTTCCTCATAGAATGAAAGAATAAAGCAAATATAACGACAGAACAGAAAATGTTGAGCTGCCCATTCCATCTATGTTACCCTCAGCAACACCTCCTGCTGCAGGGTCCAAAAAAATAGCATGCAGCTCTGGAGCTAGTAAAGCCACTAGGGGTAGTCCTCGACTCACTACCACAATGTAGCCCAAAATTTATGTTGCTAAGTGAGACATTTAAGTGAGTTTTGTCTCATTTTACAACCTTTTTCGCCCGTTAAATTAGTAACATGATCGTTAAATGAATCTGGCCTTCCCCATTGACTTTGCTTGTCAGAAGGACGCAAAAAAGGGATCACTTGACCCCAGGACAATGCAACCATGATAAATGTGAACCAGTTGCCAAGCGTCTAAATTTTGATCCTGTGTCTGTGGGAGTGCTGCAACAGTCGTAAGTGTGGAAAATAGTCGCACGTCACTTTTCAGTCTTGGAACTTACGTTTTTCATGCTTGGGACCATTGCAGCATCCCCAGTCCCCATGGTCATGTGACCAGAATTGAGACCCTTGGCAACTGACTCGTATTTATGACAGTTGCAATATCCTGTGGTCATGTGATTAGCTTTTGCGTCCCTTTGACAAGCAAAGTCAATGGGGAAGTCAGATGCATTTAAGAACCCCCGTTATTTAACAACTGCAGTGATTCACTTGGCAGTGGCAAAGGTGGCCATAAAGTGGGGCAAAAAAAAAACAACTTAAGTTTCACTTAGCAACAGAAATTGTGGAGTCAATTGTGATTGTAGGTTGAGGACTTCCTGTACAATCTCATAAATTGATGATCCTAAAATGGGTCATTATGTGACCAGACCCAGATTTATGACTGTTTTGCAGTGGTTGTTAAGCAAACCCATTGTTTGCTATGGGGCAGTGTTTGCCAGAAACCAGAAGCAAACACTGCCAAAATGACAGAAATTGCAATCACCTGCTGTGGAGGTGCCACCAAGAGCCATAAATGTGAGCCAATTACCAGGTACTCAAAAGGGGACACTGATCATACCTTTTCTGGGAAGGAGTCTGTCATAACTTCAGTCACTATATCACTGGTTGCAAGTTGAGGATTATCTTTATAAGCCCCAAGACTGATAATGCAAGTAGCAGAAATTTGTTTCCATATTTTACTGTTGCTTTTGCTGAATCAGCAGTGAAATATTAGCATCTTGGTAATAACAGGGTTTCCTTTGATATAACTCTCAGCAGCCAGGTTTTACAGTAAAAGGAATCGATGATCTAAGTCAGGGATGGATAGTCTTTGAAAAGCTGTGAGCCACAACTCAGCTTCCTAATTTTCTGAAGGATCACAGAAAGCTAGTGAGCCTTTTCACTTCACATTTAACTAGTGGGTTTGGGGGTGGGGTGATTGTGATCAAGGTGGGTTTCCTGAGGCAGACCACTTCTACTTTCTATGTTTCTACTTCTAAAACCATCCAACACCCCCCCCCCCAATAAAATGGGCTTTGGAGTCAAACTTTCAAAATTCAGTGTCAGAAGCTTGGGATCCTGGAAAGCCTCCAATTGGATGTTGGTTGATGCAGCACAGATCCTGGGCGCCAACTCCCCCAATTTAGGAACTTGTCACACTTATATTAGAATCATTGCTCAAAAACTGATTTTCCAAGGAGAGCAAAATCATTGCACGATGTAGCTGTGGCAAGTTCAAGACATTTATCATTCAAATAGGAAAAACACTTCAAAATTTTGTTCAAGCTTTTTGACCTTGTCATCCCTTAACTCGGGGTTGTCAGGCAACTGGATGGAGCTGAGCATTTATTGATCAGATGCCCTTTCTGATGTTGCAGTTCGCAACGATTTTTTCTTTGCATCCTGCACTTTAGGAAACACCTGCCGTTATCTAGAATTGAACTCTCAGCCTTCCAAGGGGGAAGGCAAGCATCTTCACCACTAGGGCACCACACTGTTCTATAACGTGATTCAACTGTTGAAACAAATCCAGCTCTTACTTAAAAGAATCTGCATAAAGTAGAAATGCAGGCAAATAAGACTTAAGGAGCACTTTCTAATATGAGCCTTTATTTCAGGAGTGGGTAGCTCTGAGTCCTAATCCTGAGGTCAAGATTGCCTCCTGCCGTTAAATGAACTGGATTTTCACTTCCACTTCACCAAAAAATTCATTTTTAAATAAAATGCATCCAGTATGTTTAATTCTGATATATTGTAGATACCAATGCAAAAAAAGCTTTCTGCAGGCCCAACTGCCCCATCTGCAACCCTGGACAAATTACTTGAAGCAATGTGAATGTATCTGCTGATAATCAGTGCTTCAGTACCCTGATGCACATCAACGTAGAGTAAAATATATTTTGAGATGTTCATATCCTATGCAGAATAAAATTTTGGGAAAATAAGATTAGGCAGGTATTTTTTTACCGTTTTGTAGTATTGAAAACAGCAAAAACAAACCCTACATACATATTGCTTCTTCCGCATTAAATTCCAACACCTCCTCATCCGTACTTACTGGATGTCAGCATCATCTACCATCTTAGTTATGCTAACTTTCATTCTTCATTTTTAAACAGAATTGTATCTTTAGCAGTGGCTCCAGCATAGGCTCTTTAGCCACACAGGTAAAGAAGGCTTAGCTTAGGAAAACAATGTAGGCCACATTGTGCCCAATACCGATGGCAGCTGCTCCAAGTGTGTATTAGCCTTAAGCCAGGGGTGTCCAACTTTGGCAACTTTAAGACCTGCGGACTTCAATTCCCAGAATTCCACAGCCATCATGTCTGGCTGAGGAATTCTGGGAGTTGAAGTCCAAAGGTCTTAAAAGTTGGACACCCCTACCCTAAACTATCTGAATAATGAAACTAAGAGCACTTCCCGCATAACACCTCCTCTTGCTACAAACGTGGACTCAATCCTAAACACCTAGGCTCAAATGTATTAATCAACCTCAATTCTTCTCATTTCCCCAATTTCTAAACACGGAAAGGCTACCCTGTCTCTTGGGACTGGCTTGTAAAAAAAATCTACAGATGTATTAGTAACAGGATGGAAGTCCTTTGTGTCCTAAACCTGGGGTCCCCAACCTGTGGACCCCAGTACCAGTCCAAGGCCTATTCACAACCGAGCTGTCTGAGTGGCTGGTGCACGTCTGTGTGCACACACAAAGCCTCACTCGTGCAAGCATTGTAGGGGATCGCAGCCCCACCCAGCACAAGTATTGCAGGCACTCAGGGCCCCATTCACCCCACTTGTGTGCATGCACCTGCCCCTCCCATAAAACCATCTCCTCCCCCCGCCCCGGGTTGTCAACCCAGAAAGATTGGGGAACTCTGTACTAAACACCCTGGGTCAGACTCTTTGGGGAGTTTTCTGCAGTTCAGTCCAACCCTTCATCCAAGCCCCACATTTTTCTTCTCAGAGAAATACTGCATGGAACATTTGATAGGCAGAGGCACATATTTTCACATTGTCTTTTTCTATTAAAAGAAAGAACAACTGGTTTCAACTTCTTTATTTTTTTTCCTCATGAATGTAACCATATAAAAACCATAAGTTATGAAAGTCACACTATGTCAGCTTTCCAAGGGCAAGGGATTAAAAAAAACACCATCACCCTCCACAGATCTGAACAGGAAATTTGAGAGGGAAAAGTACAAAACCGTCAAGTGAAAAAACAACACCCACAAAATGGCGATGCCTTTTTCACCCACACCTCTACGTGCCCTCTTGAGTTAAAAAAACCTGTTGGGATGACCATCCTGCCGACTGGACGCCAAATTGATGTACGTACCCCTGAAAACCAAGCAACGTTTGCACTAGAAGTGGTGACAAGGAACAGTGTTACACTGAAAAGAATGGGCTGGGAGGGAGAAAAATTTTAGGCAACACAGTCTGGCAGAGAAGACCGACAATGATTTAACAAAAATTAAAATCCATGATGGAAGCCTGCTGTTTGCACTCAAGCCTCAGAACAAACGGATGGACAACCCACGTGCATGTCTTCAATTGTGCTAACAGCCTCAGTTCCTGGTAGCTGGGGAAAGGGGAGCCTTTTAAAAACAAGGGGCAATGGGATTTGGGGTGGGGGAATCTTGGCTATTTCCCCCTAGCCTCTAATACTGACCCTCTCCTTGCTGGCCCAGAGTGCAGCTATAGGGAACTACACAATGAAATGAATTAGTGATACGTCAACGGAATAGGATGACAGAGAGGATTTGCTCTGGGTGCAAGGTTGGTTGAAGGAGGAGAAAAAAAAATCTGTGGAAACGAAGGGGCTAACGCATCCGGTAATCCGTCGAACAAGACAGCTCACACAACTGCCCCTTGAAGTCCAAGTCAATGGTGAAGTCCAGATCTCGCTGCATACAGAAAAAGAAATGAGTTAAAACATTTTTTTCCACACAATGTGCTCCACCACATACAGGAAGTTCAGCCTCATCTTCATTAAGAGACATGGAGGATTTATTTGTCATTCCTGTGCTGCAAAAATCATTATATTCTCTT